ACACAGCACACAGCCTCCCCAGTGCCCGTCACCCCGCGGCCCAGCCCTCCCACCCCTCTCCTCTGGCAACCCACAGTTCTTTTCCTGAGACTAAAGGTCTCTTAGGGTTTGGCTCCCTCTCTGGTTTCCTCTTGTTTCGTAGGGCGTACCTCTTCGGAATAGTTTTATCTTTCTGATGAGTTGAACCTTCCATCATTTTAAAACACCCGTTTTCCTCTAAAAATGCTGTTTTATCCCAATGTCTGCTTTGCTTGGTACTGAGACAGATGAACCAGCTTCCTTTGGTGTTTTTTGACTTTTTACCTGCAAGTAGGATTTGTCTCTTGAAGACCACACACCGAGACCTGTGTGAGCGCCTCCTGGGGGAAATGCCTTCGAGGGCCACCGCGAGGGCCACAGGGAGCCTGGGGGTGCTGGGCGGGGGACTGGGGGCGAGGAGGAAGAGGGAGGCAGCGCCCGCAGACATTCTCATCCTCCGGAGGGTCTCCCGCGGGGCTGCGGCCCATCCCCTTCCTGGGCAACCACCCACCTGCTCCTCCCGGATGGATTCGCGCTTTCTGGTGGGATTCGTTCCATGGGGGGTCTCTTGTGCCGGAGTCTGAGGGGGCTGGAGGCGCCCGGGCGGCAGCGTCTGGGTGACCCGCTCGGGTGATTCTGGTGCTGCACCCGCGGGAGGTGCGGGGGGCCAGAACTGGGTCCTGCTGCTCCTGGTTTAAGGTTTTGAGAAACCAGGAATCTGTTTTCTAAAGTGGACACGTGTTAGAAATCTTGTATTTCCGTCGTTTATTTCCACTGGCAAAGTGTGAGGGTTCCGGTCTCCCCATGCCCTCCCCAACTTGCGCTCCGGCCGCCCCGGGGCGGGGCCGTGGCCTCTCACCCCGCTTGGGATCTCGTGGTCCCCAATGCCGGGGACGCAGAGCTGCGTGCAGACTGTCCAAAATGTCCACTCAAATTGTTCACTGACTTGTACACTCTGTTCTCTTACCGATGAGGGATAGTTGTTTATTCTGATAGATGAATTACAGATATATTCTCCCAGTCTGTAGCTTTTTTTCATTTTCTCAATAATATCTCTTGAAGAATAAAAATTTTAGATTTCGATTGTCTGCTCTATCAAATTTTCTTGTTTGGACCACATCTTTGACATTGCATAGAAGAAGTTTTTGTCTAATGAAACGTCATGAAGATTTTGTTCTCATTTATAATGTTTCTTTCTTTCTTTTTTTTTTTAAAACGTATGCTGTGCACCCAAGGTGGGGCTCAAACTCATGACCCTGAGATCAAGAGTTGAAGGCCCTACCGAGCCAGGCAAGTACCCCAATTTTGTTTTTAACATTTTACTGATTTTAGAGAGAAAGTGGTGTGTGTGAGCAGGAGGAGTACCAGAAAGGGAGGGAGAGGCGGGGAGAGCATCTCAAGCAGAATCCTTGCTGGGTGCAGAGTCCAAAGCAGGGCTCGATCTCATGACCCTGAAGTCATGACTGAGTTGAAACCGAGTCAGTCGCTTAACCGAGTCCCCCAGACACCCCTTTTGTTCTTCTGAATGTTTTATAGTTCGTACACTTGGCTCCATCCTCCATTTTGAGTGTCTGATGTGAAGCAATGGCCCAAATTCATCTTTTTGGGTGTCCATTATTACCAACTGTCCGAGCATGGTTTATTGAGGATTTTTTCCCCAATAAATTGTCCTGACATCTTCGTTGGAAAGCAGCCGACCTTAAATACATGGTTTATATCTGGATTCACCATGTAGTTTCATTGACTGACCTCACGTCTCTCCTTATGCCAGTACCGCCCTGTCTTGATCACTGTAGCTTTATATGATACTTTGTAAAAAGGGAGAGTAAGTCTTCCCAGTTTGCTTATTTAAAAATCATTTGAACTATTCTACGTTGTGTTTGTTTCTGTGTAAACTTCAGGGTCAGTTGCCAATTTTTGCAAAGGAGTCGGCTGCAATCGTGACACCGATTGCATTGTGTTTGTAAGGTCCGTCTGGGGACAATGGACATTGTGCACTACTGTCAGACAGATTCTCTTCCCGTGGATTTAGAACCTCTTTAATTTCCCTCAGTAATGTTTTATTGGTTTTGGTGTGTAATTTTGGAGTTCTTCTGTTAAGACAGCTACATACTTTATTTCCTGATATTTTGAAAGAATTACTTTCCTGATTTCCATTTTGCTTATTTCATTGCTAGAATGGAGAAATGAGGTTGGCTTTTGTATATTCGTCTTGTATTGTTGTGACCTTGACGAACTTATTTCTAGCTCTGGGAGATGTTTTGATACTTCTTAAGTTTTTCTTTATACAGGATTACATCATCTGAAAATAAGGACAGTGCACTTTGTATTTTCCTTTTTTTTTTTTTTAAAGATTTTATTTATTTACTTGAGAGAGAGGCAGTGAGAGAGAGCATGAGTGAGGAGAAGGTCAGAGAGAGAAGCAGACTCCCCATGGAGCTGGGAGCCCGATGCGGGACTCGATCCCGCGACTCCGGGATCATGACCTGAGCCGAAGGCAGTCGTCCAACCAACTGAGCCACCCAGGCGTCCCTGTATTTTCCTTTTTTTAAAAAAGATTTTATGTTGAGCCTGGGTGGCTCAGTGGGTTAAAGCCTCTGCCTTCGGTCGTGATCCCTGAGTCCTGGGATCGAGCCCCGCATCCGGCTCTGCTCGGCGGGGAGCCTGCTTCCTCCTCTCTCTCTGCCTGCCTCTCTGCCTCCTTGTGATCTCTGTCAAATAAATCTTAAAAAAAAAAAAAGATTTTATTTGAGAGAGTGCACACAAGCAGGGTGGGGGCGGCAGAGGGAGAGGGAGAAGCAGGGAGCCTGATGCGGGGCTCAGTCCCGGGCCCCCAGGGGCCCCTGGACATTGTACTTTCCAGTCCGGATTCTGCGCAGTCCAGTGAGAGCAGCCGCAGACCAGCCCCCGGGGCAGGCGCAGCGCACAGACAGTAGAGCTACTAATCAGGGTGTCGGGGTCAGGTCCATAGAAGGGTCTTAAGAAAGAGGACCGAACAGGGTAGACTATGGGTTGCAAATAGCAAATTAGAGAAGTCACGAGGCTAATTCCTCAGTGGGATCTTTGTGCATCTCTGACGGTCTAGTCAGAGGTCCGCACGGATTGGATCCTGAGTTTCGGAGGCCAGAGACGGAGCCACCTTCCCGGCCTCTCCTGCTGTGGAGGGCCGTGCGGGGTGGGACGGCCGCTGAGCTCCCACTGCTGCGCCGTCTCGGAGGCTGTGGGCGCCCCCCGGCTTCCTTCCCTTTTCAGACGACTGAGCGAGGGCACTTTTCACAAAACCGAGTCCTGACAGGGAGCGTTTCCAAGCTACACGCAGAAGAGCACACTCTAGTGTTTAAGAAAAAGGCCAATTTATGTATGGACGTAACTCTCTAGATTTTGGTAACAGGAGTTGCTTCTAGAAAAGGAGGAGGAAGGAAAGGAGACAATTTCCACGATACACACTTCTCTGTGGTTTGAACGTGGCTGAACGGCAGGAGCGAAGGCGCAGGGAAGCCGCCCAGCGAGCCGCTGCAGGACAGCTCCGGTCCTGTGCAGGGGGTGGGGGAGGCAGGGGTGTGGGTAGGCAGCAGACGGGCAGATGCAGGGAGAAGCTCAAACAGGAGGTGGTAGGTGTGACAGCAGCCTATGAGGACGGAGAGAAGGAAGGGCTTTGACCTTGTGACCATGAAGCTGAAGACCCGACTGTTCACGGCTGGCGGGGTCGGTGGGGGGGGCGCGTGTCACGGTTCGGAACGAGCCTCCTGCCTTCCGGGGCTGAGAGTGAGCAGCCGACCTCACGGAGGACTGGGTCAGGGCAAGGTCGGGTTCTGAGGGAGCCGTCTGGGCGGTCTCGCGTGGGGGAAGCTTGCTGTGCGGGGAACATGCTGATGCACGTCCACGGACCGTCCCCCTCGTGGCCACTCCCCAGCTAAAGCGCCACAGAATCAGGTCCTAAAGGGTGGCGGTCGCCCACGCGTGAGGCGCTTTACACACACCTGGGAGTCAGTGCTCACCAACCCCCAGAACCCCCATCAGGTGACAGGGCAGACGACACCAGCAGGCTGGGGGCTGCGGGGCCCAGAGACGGCCAGTGGGCAGCAGCGGGGGCACGGCCGTGGCCTCGAGTCCTCCCATGGGGGTGGGTCCGGGAACTCAGGGCGGCCGCTGACCGGAGTCACTATTTTCTCAAATCCCCGCCCGCTGGCGCGCACGAGCGCGGGAAGGACGGCCTCCCTCCCGCCCTCCGTCCGTGCGGCGCCAGGTCCTGGGAGGGAGAACTTCAGGGCGGATCTTGGTCTCCTGACCTGAATCTGGAAGGTTAGGAGTAAAACCTGAGTCTGGAAAGTAGACCTGGTGGACGTTTCTGCAGTCTGGTCGCTGCGGACCCCTCACAAGCCGAACGCCGGAGAAACTCAACTGGGCCAACTGAAGGCTCTTTCCGTGTTATAAATCTCACACAACACTTTAAGAAAGATACTTTATTTAGGGGAAAGACCGTAATTATTTAAAATCTGACAACCCCACCTAATAAACTGCTTTCAGGAACAAGAGAACACTTCAGGGCACTAATGTCCGTCTTCCCTGGAGGCTGGGAGCGGACTCCTCCCGGCGGCATTGGGTCTGACAGCGTCTGGGACGGGAAGTGTCCCCCGTCCTCCGTGCGGGCCGTGACGCGGCTTAAAGGTAGGCGCAGAGCCGCTCCAGCTGCCCGGGGTTGGCGTCACTCAGGAACAGCAGCTCCTTTTTCCCTTCTTCTGTATGAGCTAGAGCGGGGGAGACACACAGCTGGCAATGCCGTCGGCAGCGCCGTGCGCCCCAGAAAATTCTGTGCGCAGAGGCTACGTGCTCCAGACGGTGTTGGAATGTGACGACCGCTCCCGGAGACCCCACTTCTAGATCCTTTCTCTCAGCAAGCGACTATTTTGTCCGTCTCTGTTCCTCTGCAATCCAGCATGTCTCCCTCTGTTCCAGGAACCTCATCTGGCCTTTCGGACTTTGTCGCACGCCAACCCCCTCAGAAATCTCCGCGCCGTGGTCCCCGGCCCACCGATGCTGCAGCTGCTGTCTGCCCTCCCCTCCAGTGATGTCCTCCACAGCAGCTGGCTCGCTCTCACCCAGGGACAGGACCACCACGACCTCTGCTCCGCTCGCCCGTGCCTGGGCCGGGGACAAGGCTGCGGTGTGCGGCGGAGGGCACCCACCCGTGTCCACAGAGCGGGACAGGCGGAGCATGGGTCTGGCCTGGCGCCGGCAGGCCTCGCTCACGTCCAGGGCTGGGCTTCCAGCCCGAGCCTCTTGCTCTAGGCTGACGTGAGATCGTGGGAAGAAACGCACCGTCTAGTAACCGCCACCACCCCCGCCACCTTTCTTGCCGTCTAATCGGCCGGAGAGAAGTCAAGAAAAAGGGAGAAAGACCATGCAGGCCGCTGCCGTGGGAAGACATCAAGGCTCTGACTCGAGGGGACTCCGTGAATGGAAAACTCGAGAACCAACCTTTCTCGTGCTGCAGCCAGCTGTTCTCCAGGTAGTACTGGATGCAGCTTTCAAACTCCTCTGGGCTGTAGTTGGAGACCAGGATGGGAACAAAGGGATCCAAGGCGTCAAATCCTTCCTGGAGAAGGAAGTCGTTAAGGGACGAGTCAGCAGAGAGTGACCTGACTTCAACGCGTCCTCTGCTCCTCGCTCTCGGGCCACCCCGCCGTACACAGGCGCCACGCATGGCGGCTGGCCACTGTCGCTCATGGCCTCTTGCGTGGTCCTTGTGCCAGGGTGATGCCGCGGGGGAGCTACCAGCTGCTGTGCATAGTGACAATTCCCTCTTTTACAGTTCTGACTTCAGTAGTCGAAGCCACTTAGTTCAGACAAAACGAACAAGGGCAGCGATAAAGACCCACTAAATGGAACACACTGAAACCAGCCGGTCACCAAACCGCATTTCAGATTTCAAACACAACAACGAAGGGACCAGGGACCGAGTTCACTCCTGAGCAGAGCACCCGGACCAACGACCCCGCCCAACCCCGCCCAGGACGACAAAAGCCCGTGGCTGGCGACTGGGAGCTCGGGCTGTTCTCCGGGGCAAGGCTGAAACCAGAGAGCGGTGATGGTCCCGCTGGGACGCAGCTCACGCACACAGAACGGGGCAGAGGGGAGGCTGCGCTGCCGGCCGGTATCAGCCTGAACTCAAGGGTGTTTCACAGGAATCAGGGAACATAGAGACGTGTGTGGGTGTGCACGTGAGGGCCCGTTCCCAGAGCACGTGCGTGCGTGCGTGAATCCTGCATCGTGGGTTCTCACACTGCCCTGGGGGCCTCAAGGAGGGGACAGCCCAGATGTAGGAAGCACACGGCACTCGGGTCTTGGAGTCTAAATCCAGCCCATTCTCAAGATAGTGGGGGGAATTCAGTTCCACCTCCTGAAGAAGCGGCCTCTTTTATTTGAGACTTACTTACTTATTTGACAGAGATAGAGAGATCACAAGCAGGCTCCCCGCCGATGCAGAGCTCGATCCCAGGACCCCGAGATCATGACCTGAGCCGAAGGCCTTAACCCACTGAACAACCCAGGTGCCCCAAAGGGGGCTTATTTTGAACATTTTGTTTTAAAGTATGCTCTAGGGGGGCCTGGGTGACTCGGTGCCTGGGATCGAGCCCCCGTATCGGGCTCCCTGCTCAGCAGAGAGCCCACTTCACCCTCTCCCTCTCCCTGCTGCTCTGCCTACTTGTGCTCTGTATCTCTCTGTCAAATAAATAAAATCTTTTCAAAAATATAAAAAATAAGGGGGCACCTGGGTGGCTCAGTGGTTTAAGCCTCTGCCTTCGGCTCAGGTCATGATCCCAGGGTCCTGGGATCGAGCCCCGCATCGGGCTCTCTGCTCAGCAGGGAGTCTGCTTCCCTCTCTCTCTCTGCCTGCCTCTCTGCCTACTTGTGATCTCTCTCTCTGTCAAATAAATAAATTCTTAAAAAAATATATATATATATAAAAAATAAAAGTAGCCTCCAGGGGTGCCTGGGTGGTTCAGTCAGTGAAGCGTCTGCCTTCGGCTCAAGTCATGATCCCAGGGTCCCTGCTGGCGACAGTCTGCTTCTCCCTCCGCCCGATGGGCCCCGCCCTCCTGGTCTGTGGTGCTGTCAATCAAATATATAAAATCTTTAAATAAATTAAGTAGGGGCGCCTGGGTGGCTCAGTTGGTTGAGCAGCTGCCTTCGGCTCAGGTCATGATCCCAGCGTCCTGGGATCGAGTCCCGCATCGGGCTCCTTGCTTGGCGGGGAGCCTGCTTCTCCCTCTGCCTCTGCCTGCCATTCTGTCTGCCTGTGCTCGCTCTCTCTCCCTCTCTCTCTGACAAATAAATAAAATCTTTAAAAACAACAAAAAAACTCTAAAAAAAAGAAAATTAATTAATTAATTAATTAAGTAAATGAATAAAGGTTCAATACCCAAGGTGTTACAGGAGTTTGACCTCATGACCCTGAGATCAAGAGGCACCTGTTCTACCCACCGGCCCCCCGGCCCCGGGACCTGCTGTCCACACGCCACTGTCCTCCACAACGAGCCAGGGCTGCCTGAGCAGTGGCTGGTTCTGGGCCTGGGTGTGGGAAGTACCGGGTGAGCGTGGAACGCTGTGCTCCTCGCCCACAAGTAAAGCCAGGGCTCGAGGAGGATGGGGTGTGGGAAAAGCACACCGCCGCCAGTCCGAAGGGGCGTCTGCTGGCCAAGTCTGCCGGCATTTAAGCCCCAGAACAGAGAACAGCGGAGGTTTAGAGCTCATGAAGAGGCGTCTGCGTGCCCACGCGGAGACAAGCACGGGAAGGGAAGGAAAGTTCTTACACGTAACGGAAAGCCAACCCATGTGTGTGGGAGAAACGCGGGAGCTGGGAAATCTCTTTCTGCCGGTACCACCGCTGGGTTCAGGAAGGCGCACGGACGACGTCCAAGCTGTCAGGAGTGTGAGGGGTAGCTGGGGAGCAAGGCGGCCGCCACAGTGACTTCACCAAGGACAAAGCAGATGTGCGGCCCCTGAACCAAGTGTTCAGGGTTCACTGTGGCGGCTGCTGGGAGAGACGTCATCCGGGTTATCAGCGGATGAGCCACAGAATCCCCCGGGACTGGCAGGTGCTGTCCCAGACTGAAAGAGACCAACAGACCAGGACAATCGACGGGGACGCACGGGCCAGGACTGTTTCTGTGAGTGACACTGGCAGAGCTGGCGAGACCACAGGACGTCCTAAAGATCAGGTCCCAGAACTTATTGATGCCAGATCCGTGATTTTAATCATTGTGCCGCAGATTATATATCTGGAATGTCTTTGATTTCAGGAAATCATTACAAGCTTGCCGCATGTCTCAGGTTACTGTCACCGAATTCAGGGAAAAAAGCAGATGGAGAAGAATAAAGCCAACATGGAAAAGCGTTACCACTTCAGGAATCTGGGTGAAGTCAGATACGAATACGGTTTTTCTCCAAGTCTATAATTATGTTTAAAAAAAAAAAACAACCCCGAAAAACAAAAGCCTCATCAGACAGACCGACTATCTAGGGGGAACCTGATTTTCTGGTGACCGACCTTTCCCAGCAGCTCCTGCGGCAGACAGGCCATCCGCGGCGTGAAGAGGGACCCGGTCTGGCTCAGCGCCAACACCACGGCGCCTCCGTGCTGGAAGAGAGGCCGGGGGAGGAGAAGGGGGAGAACAGAAAAATGCATTGTCGTCATCTGGATTTTTAGTACAGGCAAATGGCAACTGAGCAGGTCCCTGCTTCTGGGCCCGGCTCCGACAACATGCGGCCGTGCGAGCTCCCGGGGGGCAGCGAGCTTCCCAGGGCTGGGCAGGTGCGGAAGTGCTCCCCGATACACACAAACAAGGGCCCGTTCCCAAGCCAGTGGGGAGATTACAAACCAACTACATAGAGTTAATTTATTTTTAAAGATTTACTTATTTGAGAAAAAGAGATACCACGAGAGGGGGAAGCAGACTCCCCGCCGAGCAGGGAGCCCGATGCAGGGCTCGATCCCAGGACCCTGAGATCATGACCTGACCTGAAGGCAGATCCTTGAGGACTGAGTCCCCCCCCTCCTCCCAGGCACCCCTAAACACAGAGACTTTAAATGAAGAACTTTCTGTCCCCGAACTCAGAGACTGACAAGCAGCAGGTGGCCCGGACACTCACCCAGTCGTTTCGCACCATCTTCCTCAGGCTGTGCACGAGCGCCAACTCCTCGGGGGCCATCTGCATGCCACCAGCAGGCGGGGAGGGGACAGAGGTCAGGCCAAGCTTTGCTGGGATGGATGGTCTCTTGGCGCAAACGACTGGCGACAACTAGAGCTTCCCGCTCGGCTATGTAAGCTCAGTGGCTGGTGGTTGCCAGCCTCAGCCCCCAGCACCTCCTGCCCGGTTTCTGACGAAAACCGGCCACGGAGGGAGAGCACAGCCCCTTCCCCACGCCGCTGCTGTCGCGAGCTCAGAGGCTAGGTGCTCCAGCCGCCACGCTACGGAAACCACGTCACTTAGCCTCGTTCCGAAAGCACAGCGCCAAGAACAATGGCCAAAACCCAGCTCCCGGGGCGGGGGTTCGTTTGCAAACCGCGCCCCCCCGAGTTTGCAGTGTTCTTTTATGCCGTGTTTTAATTCACATGCTCCCAAGGCGAGCAAACATGCACAGGCTACAAGACCTCGTCCCGGCGCACGCACGGCGGCACCCGTGGTCAGTGACGGAGAAACGCCGGTTTCCTACCAGGCTCTTATCTTCTCTCTTCAGCGTGGTCCTTCCCCAGAGAGCATTGACTCCATCCACCGCCACCAGGAGACGGAAAGCACCCGAGCAACTCTGACTCTTGAGCTCTTTGAGAACGATCCCAACGGCATCCGTGGCATTCTTCACCCGCGTCAGGCCCTGCAGGGGAGAGAGGCAGGGGCTTGGCGCCCAGGAGAGGCCTCCGCCAGGACGACACGGGACCCACCCCTGTCTACTTTGTACCTGCTCCACCACTTCTCCCAGAGGCCGGCCTTTCTCGGTGCTCTCTCGCTTATTCCACATGTATGTCTCCTGAATTTTTATCTAAAAACGAACATGAAAACCAGAGAAAGGCTATTTAGCCTAGAGATAAGCCCATCCGCAGCTGCGCAGGTAGGAGGTCAGGCTGTTGGGAGTCAGCTTTAATCTGTTTTTCAAGACCCGTGAGCAACTCCGGGAGAGAGGTGACCGCCTTCTAGCCCTTTCCTGCCTACGGCGTTAAGAACAGAAGCTGCCGGGCTCCTGACGACAGTCGCCAGGACGAGGCCTTGGCAGCCACAGGCACAACTCCCAGGTGCCCCTGACTTATGTCCAGGGTTGAAACTCGCAGCCTAGAGACTGTATCGAAGAATCGCCAGAGCAGGGAATGATGCCACCGGTACGTTTCTGGCTCCACGAAAGACCTTGATCGGGAGGAAATGCTGTGGCTGGAAATGGGCTTTAGAGGGTCTGTGGCTGTAGCCCGGGACGAGTCAGGGAATCCATGTGGCCTTGACTTTGCTCCAGGGGAAAAGCTCTCACTGCCTCGGGGACGGCCTGCGCCACGGCGTCAGGTCCCGCGGGCGCGACGCCAGCTCGTGCCTCCACGCGCCGAATGCAGCGGGGACAGGAGGGCCTGGCCGCCCTGCCGCAGCGCTTGCTCTCCCCGGTCACCCGTGCTCAAGGCGCCAGGATCGTGTCCACGCGTGCAGCGGCCGCGCCGGGCTTCTGGAGGCTCCTCACCTGACTCAGGAAACGCTCGTTGGCCGTTTTGAAGCTCTTCAGCCAGTTGGCGGCCTCCACGGGCTGGTCGAAGCGCCGCCTGCTGTAGGCCGACCGCAGGAGGCCCCGCGAGCTCTTCACCCATAGGTGAGCTGCGAAGACGGACGCGCAGACGGAGGATGAAGCCAGGCAGTGACCGATCTGCTCCGGACACCGCTGCCTGGCGCCGCTGCCCCCGCCCCGCGCTGGAGAGGCCGCCCGGGACCTCGGACCCCGGAGCGGACTACGACGGCCTCCCGCGGGCCGGGGGCCTTCCTGCGAGCGGGCCGGCAAGCAAGGGGAAGCGGCGGGACCAGAAGATGGGAAGGAAGGGGAGACCCACTCGCGGCCCAGCATCACTGGAGGATGCGCATGGAAGGGGTCGGGCAAGTCTACATCGTGCGTCCGAGGGTCAGCCGTGTGTTCCTTAACGCCCTCTGGCCTTAGAGGTCCCGCTGAGGTCACCAGCACTGCAGTCTGTGCCCGAGGCACGCCACAGGGTGACAGGTCACCGGATTCCCAGCAGTTTTTATTTATTTATTTATTTATTTATTTTTAAAGATTTTATTTATTTATTTGACAGACAGAGATCACAAGCAGGCAGAGAGGCAGGCAGAGAGAGAGGAGGAAGCAGGCTCCCCTCTGAGCAGAGAGCCCGATGCGGGGCTCGATCCCAGGACCCTGGGACCATGACCTGAGCAGAGGGCAGAGGCTTTAACCCACTGAGCCACCCAGGCGCCCCCAGCAGTTTTTATTTTTATTTTAACTCTATCAGAGAGAGAGAGAGAGAGAGAACAGCCAGGGGGAGTGGGAGAGGGAAAAAGCAGGCTCTCCGCTGAGCAGGGAGCCCGATGCGGGACTTGATCCCAGGGCCCTGAGACCTCGACTGGGGCCATAACCAAGACCGGGACACTCAACCGACTGAGCCACCCAGGTGGCCCCAAAATACTTCATTCTTACTATCAAACGGCTCTTGGGAGGTTTTCGCTGCACTTCTCTCACCGCACTTGCTCACGTCACATGCAACCGGCCTGGGGTGACCGTGACGGCAGGCCGGGCGAGCTCCACCGGCCGCTCCCCGAGCCGCAGCCCAGCGCCCGCAGCCCAGCGGGGAGGAGAGCGCCTCCTTACCGTCGGGAACATGCACAATCAGCCAGTCCCGTTTTGCACAGAAATGAACAACATGGCAGAGACTGAGGGTTTTTCCTGTCCCCTTCTCCCCATCTAAAGCACCTGCGGTCAAGGAAAACCTCACCACAAGGGACTCTGGCCTGTCGGCACAGGGCCGCTTCCCGGCCCTCTCCCGTCAGCGGTCGGGACGGCTCCAGCAGGCGGCAAAGGATACAGAGCACGTACCGCACGGCCGGGTGAGCGAAATTGGTGTCGTCCAGGTGCCGCAGGAGCTCCAGGGCCGGCCTCCTCACCATCAGGCAGGCTTCGTTGAAGGTCCTCACCTGGCAGAACCGGGAAGCACGGCGGCTGTGGCGGGCGGCGCGGAGCGGACCCGGCAGCCGGAGGGCCCCGCTGCGCGCCCGGCCTGTCCGCTCGGGCGACGCTGGGCCGCTGGATCTAAGCTGCACCCGCAGACTCCGGCTGACACCCACTAACACGGCAGTCCCCATCTGCGGATTTGTTGACGACACGGAAATCTACAAGCGACCGCGGGCACCTTGTCACACGCTCCACAAACCATCTAGGACTAACTCGCTGAAAGCAGGTAAGATGCTTCACAGGTATCTGACACGCGCTAAGTGCTGAATGAATGTTAATTCATTTAAATCTATTTTTAGCTAATTCTTACGAGTATCTGGACTTTTCTCTAGGAACACATATGTGACAGCTCAGGAGCAGGTGTGACCAGGGGCCCCACAAGCCACCCTGGATGCCAGAGAATGGACACAAAGTTTCAGTCCCTTTTTGTCACCAGGAATACGCCGGTGGAAAAATCTGGGAAGTGCTGATGCGTGTGACGGTGATCTGCAGATAAAGGATTTCATGATGTTTCTTTTTTTCTTTCTTTTTTTTTAAGATTTTATTTATTTGACAGAAAGAGAGAGATCACAAGTAGGCAGAGAGACAGGCAGAGAGAGAGGGAGAAGCAGGCTCCCCGCTAAGCAGAGAGCCTGATGCGGGGCTCAATCCCAGGACCCTGGGATCATGACCTGAGCTGAAGGCAGAGGCTTAACCCACTGAGCCACCTTCATGATGAAGGTGCCCCTTCATGATGTTTCTTAATAAGATCAAATACCTAACAAGCACTATTTATAAGTAGATAAGGATTAAAATTGTGTTGTAATCTTTTTTTTTTTTAAAGATTTTTTATTTATTCATTTGACAGAGAGAGATCACAAGTATGCAGAGAGGCAGGCAGAGAGAGAGAGGGGGAAGCAGGCTCCCTGCTGAGCAGAGAGCCTGACGCGGGGCTCGATCTCAGGACCCTGAGATCATGACCTGAGCCGAAGGCAGAGGCTTTAACCCACTGAGCCACCCAGGCGCCCCCGTAATCTTCTTTTTTAACGATTACTTGACAGAGCGAGCAGGCGCAAGTTGGGGAGGGGCAGAGGGAGCAGCAGACTCTCCACTGAGCACTGAGCCCAGCATGGGGGCTCGATCCCACGAGCCTGAGATCACGACCCGAGCCAAAATCAAGAGTCGAAGCCACCAGGCGCCCCAATAGTGTTGATATTTTTAAAGAAATCCTAATTGTACAGCTGAATTGAAGGACTCGACAGGCAAATTCAAACTTAATGGAAAGTGAAACCTTCGAAAATGTGACAGAGATATTAAAACAGAAATGCCATATTAGGCAATATGACAGCGCTAAAATACAAACAGTGGGGAGGGAGTTGGCCTTCGTGTAAAAGGAAATTATGGAAGGAATGTATGAGTAATACCCTCCACAGCCCTGGTGGTCAGGCAGCCGGGAAGCGACTGGAGACGGTCACGGGGCCGGAGCAGGACGGGTGCCGCCAGCATCCACGGCTGAAGCGCCCCGACACCCAATTATCCCGGGTGTGTCCTGTTTCCAGATTCCAGGCCCTGCGCCCCAGTTCTGCGGTGCTGATGAGAACGCTACTCGCGGTCTAGCGTGCGCTCCCTTACTGTTGTCTCGCTGGATTGTTTGAAATAAACGACCCGGGAGGGACGGCATCCTCTGCCTCTGAAGCTAAAAGTCACGTGCACAGTCCGGTCTGCCCTTTCGGTGAGAAGGGGGTCTCCGAGGCTGAGGGCAGTGCAGCAGGAGGGAGTCAGAAGCCAACTGTGCCAACAAACCAGGCTGGCAGGGCGCCTGGGGGGTTAAGGCGTCTGCCCTTGGCTCAGGTCACGATCCCGGGGTCCTGGGATCGAGCCCCGCATCGGGCTCCCCGCTCAGCAAGAAGCCGGCTTCTCCCTCTCCCACTCCCCGCTTGTCTTCCCTCCCTGTCAAATGAGTGAATAAAAAATCTTAGAAGAAAAAACAAACACCCAAGAAAACAAGAGCAAAAAAGCCCCAGGCTTGCAGTTCATCAGGAATTTTCAGCAGCTATAAAGCAACCCAAGATTACGTGTTTGGGTGGAAGTTTTCTGAAAATCCAGGACAATAAAGAACATTAAAGCCTCGGGAATGCCCGGGTGGCTCAACTGGGTAAGCGTCTGCCTTCGGCTCAGGTCATGATCCCAGGGTGCTGGGATCGAGTCCCACATCGGGCTCCTTGCTCAGTGGGGAGCCTGCTTCTCCCTCTGCTGCTGTTCCCTCTGCTTGTTCTCTCTCTCTGTCTCCCTGACAAATAAATCTTAAAAACAAACAAACAAACAAACAAAACAACAAAACATTAAAGCCTCTAATCCAGACGGCACTTCTGTCTGGCTCAGGAAGAGATGATGATTTCGAGCCCCACAGCTCACTTCCTCATGGCGTTGTGCTAAGGCAAGCTTAGACCCATCTATGAACGATTGTTGGAGCGCCAAAGGCTCTGGAAAGCTGCCAGGTGGGTGACGTGCGGACCCCAGCGGGGTTCTGGCGACCGGAGAATACTCCGCCCGCCCGCCGCCACCCCGCGGCCACAGGGACCGCGATCCGCGTCCGCCTCACGCGCAGACTCCGGCTCCCCCAGTCCGCGCGCGCCCCCCGCAACCCCCCACCCCGCGCGGCTCGAGCCGCAACCCGAGCTGCGCCCCCCACCGGCAGCACCTGCAGGCTGAAGCGACGGGGCAGGCCGTGGGGGAAGACGGTCGGGAGGTCCTGCAGGGGGATGCGGTAGTGGCGGCCCTCGCGCTGCTCGCCGGCCCCGGCCTGGGAAACAGAGACGCCAGCAGCTGCCACGGGCCGCGCGTGCGACACGTCACAGCGGCGGGAAGGGCCCGGGACCCCATCGAGGACACTTCGCGCCTCGGGGCCGGAAAAGAGGTCGTTCGCTCGTCAGGCCGGCCCGGAGGGGATGGCGCCGGCTGCTCGGGCCGCGTGAGCCCCGCGTGCGGGGGCAGGGACACGACTCCCGCCATCTGGATCCTTCTGTGCGGGGCGTGGAGAGGCTGCAGGCACGCGACAAGTCTGCCGCCGCCGCGTCCACGGAAACCTGGGGAACCGCACGGGGCTCCCATGCCACGGGAAGCTGAGCGACGCCTCAGTGACTTCCCTGTTCAACTCAGCGAAGCTTCTGGAAGCAGGGCAGCGCCGCGCCGGCGTCCTGGCTCCGGAGGCCCGCTCCCCTCCCGTGGCGCGGCGCGGGCGGAGGGGGCAGCCCCGCGGAAGGCCGGGCCCCGCGGCCCCCGCCCCCGTCACGCGTGCGCCCCGACCCCGCGGCCCCGTGAGGGCGGCCGCCGCCCAGCCCGGGAGGGCGAAACCGCGACCCCGGGCGCCGCCAGAGCCCGGCCGCGGACAGACCCCCTCTCACGGCCGCTGCCGACAGCGAGGCTCGTGCGCGCCCCAGCAGTGGGAGGCGCGGCCGGGGCGGCGGGCAACCGGCGGAAGGACCGGCCCTCGGGCGCCAGCCCCGCCACCCGGCGGCGCCGCTTCCGGGGAGGAGCTTCCGCCGGCCGTCGGCCTCGACTCACTTGGGCGCCTACACGTACTTACAGATTCTCCCTGGGGAAAGCCCCGCCGGCTGCCTGCGGCGCAGTGAAGCAGCTTCGCTCCCGTCGGGTCAGTCGGGCCACGTCCGGCCACGCCCCACCGGGAGACCAGAAACTGCCCCGTGGAGCTCCGAAGGGCTAGACCCGCCCCCTGCCCGACAGACCCCCGCGACACGGCGGCCCGCAGCGGCAGGAGTTCAATCAGGCGTGGAGCGGCCTGCCCGAGGGGCCGATCCGGGCTCCCCATCTGTCCTGGGGGCCCCGACCGCAGGCAGACCTGCTCCCTTCCCGGGCCGCCGCGTCTCCCGATATGTAAAATGACGGCGACATGACCTAGACGACCGGAAAGAAATCTGCACGCTCACGAGCGACTCACCGGGTCGTCCTCGCTGGGGTGGGAACCGGCTCTGGGGTTCTCATCCGGAACCTGGTCATCCAGGCGAGCAGCAAGGCTTTGGGGGGCCTGGGGCCCCCCATGCAAAAAATGTCCAGGGTCCAACTATAAAAGAAACCATGGTAATGTTTTGGAATTAGCAGGCTTTTTTCTTCTTTTTTTTCAAGATGTATTTACTTATTTGACAGAGAAGTAGGCTCCCAGCCAAGCAGGGAGGCTGACGCGGAACTCGATCCCAGGACCCCGAGATCATGACCTGAGCCAAAGGCAGACACAACCCACTGAGCCACCCAGGCGCCCTGGGATTTGCAGGCCTTTTATGCTCACTACAAAACTGAGGTTTCGAGCCCCATCTACGACAGGGAAATTCACTAATACACAGTTTAGCGTTACGTGCAAGGAACCTTTATTTGTACAATTCTCTACATCCAATCATGTGGTCCACCCTCTGAATCTGCTGTGTCGCTGGGGCCGGGTTCCGTCCCCCACGGGCGTGAAGCCATCTGCTTGAGAAGGCTCCGGAGCCAGGCGCAGCCGCTGGCAGCCTGGAACGGGCGGCAGGCTCCTGCACTCTGGCTCACAGCGGTGGCCGGCAGCTGGGTGGCGATCGTGGCCACCTCTGTTCTCACGGGGCCCATGCGGGGCTCCCACGAGACAGGTATCAGGACACGTCCGCAGCCCTTGTCCTGCTGGCCGGGCCTGGAATAAAGACTCTGACTGAGGACGCCTCTAGCTAAGCGGGAGGAAGCCACCCCTGAACCAATGGTTGGGCTGTGGGATTTTGGGAGGCAAGGCTGAGAAGCTGCTGCCCGGAGAACCCCCAAACTGAGCTGAAGGATAACGGGCCTCACGCAGAAGGAGACGCCAGCTCTGTATGGCCGGGAAGCCGAGTTTACACACACCCCGAAAGGCAGGTGAGGCCGGCACGTGGCCTTGGTTCTCATGCCGAGTCTGAGACCTGACAGCGGCAGGGATCAGCCATGCTTTCTTTTTCTTTTCACGTTCATTTATTTTAGGTCATCTCTACAGCCCAAACGTGGGGCTCGAACCCCCGACCCTGAGATCAAGAGTCACATACTCTCCCAACCAACTGGCCTGGCGCCCCTCGGCCATGCTGTCTGATTAGCTGGCGGGTAAACATCTTATTAGGGAGGATAAATCTTTGGAACTAGGAAAGACGAAGAGTCAAGATTTAGAGGAGAAAATACCGGTTAGAAAGTTGTTAAAGAACTTAAATGGGTGTAATTTTTCTGAGCAAAAGAATCGTTTAAACCTTAGAATCAACATGCTGACTTGGCACCCCAACGTGACAGACCGTCACCCCACGTGCAGCCCAGACCGTCTCGGAATTGCAGCAAGAGCCGGAACGAGACTGAGCATCTGCGGCACCCGGGCCACCCGGGGCGCTCGGTGGGTGAAGCGTCCGCCTTCGGCTCGGGTCACGGTCCCAAGGCCCTGGAATCGAGCCCGCATCGGGCTCCCTGCTCGGTGAGGAGCTTGCTTCCCCCTCTGCCTGCTGTTCTCTCTCTGATGAATAAATAAAAATCTTAAAAAAAACCAAAACCAAATAAAAAAACAACCCGGAAGAGCCACAACACCCGCAGCCACACTGGCTAGGCAGAGCTGATGAGTGCCCGGGCCCAGGGCATCGGCACGGGGGTCCGACCGCCATGCGCTGAGCGGCTGCTCCCCGGTGGGCCCCGCTACTGGAGACAAAGCACCAGGGCTTTATAAAAAAAAAAAAAAAAAAAAAAAAAAAAAAGTAACAGAAAATTACAGATACTCAAGGGCCACAAGGTGGTGGTATTTCTACACAAATCCTCTGATTTTTCTTTTAGTTAAATGCTTTTTGCAGCAAATTAAGCCCTAGCAAAATGGATTCCTTACTCCTTACTCTGTTACATATGGCATCGCCCAGACAGTCTTGTGTCTCTGGGGAGACCGCCCGCGTGCCATTGCCTCCGCACAGCTCCAGAATGAAAACCAGACAGTTCCTGAAAGAGCGGCACCCGCGACCCCAGCAAGGTGACTTTAAATCAATCTACGAAAAGCACAAAATTCTCAGACTGCTCGCTGCCGTGGGCTCAGGTTGTTCTCGTCTGCCATCAAGAACAGATTTTAGCCTTTCAATGCAAACAGTTGAGGCCCGAATTTATTGCTGATCCTTGTTCCTTTTTTAATTTCCTAATAATGGGTTATTTCACATCTACAAGCTTTATCACGAATCCCTGGGAAAAAGTTCTACGGAGGGAAGGGCCCATCCTCTAGACAGTCTCAGGTGTGGCAAAGGATGAGACAGAAGGGATGGAGCCCTGCTGGGGCTCTCACCCTTTGGGACTCAAGTCTTAGGGTGCTCTCTGCAGGCCCCACAAACTCGGGGAACCCTGACTCTGTCTCTGGCTTCTGATATCCAGGAGAACCGTGACCGTAAAAGGGCCACAAGGACAGCGCTTGAGGCCACAGGCCTTGTGATGAAAACCTGGGCTCCACAACCCTCCCGGGATGTCCCTGAGGGCGGTTCACCCAGCCTGGCTACTGCTCACTTTCTGTCTCTGAGTGACGAAGACGTTTCCTACCGGCCTCGGCCCCGCCGCAGAGACGTAACGAGACGAAGCACTTAGCACTGTGCCGGGCACGTAACGAGACCCAGCGAATCACACCCACGGATGCACAATGAGCCGTCTGAGTCCCGAATGTACTGAGGAAACAGCTGCTCAGTGAACGAAGCAGAGCAATGCAAGGGCCGTTTTTATATGTGATTTTACTATTTTATTCAGCTATCAGATGCTAAAAGTCTAAGGAAGCAACTTATTTTTCTTTCAAATACTTCATTAAGGGGGATAATCATCAATCCAATGAGATGTTAACAACAGTTAATAAAGATAACTGCAGTCAAGCTTATTCAGCTATTTCTTTTTTTTTTTTTTTTAAGATTTTATTTATTTATTTGACAGACAGAGATCACAAGTAGGCAGAGAGGCAGGCAGAGAGAGAGGGGAAGAGAAGCAGGCTTCCTGCTGAGCGGAGCCTGATGCGGGGCTTGATCCCCGGACCCTGGAATCATGACCTAAGAAGAAGGCAGAGGCTTTAACCCACTGAGCCACCCAGGCGCCCCTCAGCTATTTCTTTTTTAAGTGTCAATTCTCCAACAAGGCTATTTACAAGGGCAGACTCCGGGAGCAGAGGCTCGGAGTGGCCTCTCGAGAGCAGAAGTTAGTGAAAGGCCTGGGCAGCAGCCATCCTCCAGAGCGCGTCACTCTGGACTGGGAGAATCCATCTAGAAACTACAGTTCTGCCTAAAGACAATGTGCACGGAGCTGCGAGGTCATCCAGGACTCACCTGGCAGGCCCTGGGGACAAGCCTCGTCACCCTTTTCAGCATCGCGGCTGTGAGCTCAGGCAAATTGAAGTGGTGGGCCGCACCTGGGCAGCAGACGGCGTACGGACGTCGCCCAGAGCACACATGGAGCGCCTGAAAAGGGACCAAGAAAAGAGCAGAAAACACAAGTGAGACATTTCACAGAACCCAAAACAAACGGCTAGTAAACCCATGAAAAGATTTTCATCCTTGTTACAAGTCAGGGAACGATGAGACACCACAGCCACGGTGCTGGGAAAAACGGCAAAGACAACAGGAACCGTGCCAGAGGCTGTGCGGCATGGGGCGGGGGGGCACCGATGGGACACTGTTGGGGGGGCAGTGTTGGGGGGTGGGGGCACAATCATCCTAGAAAACACATCTGGTGTTATCTTATAAAGTTGAAAATGTATAGGTCTATGACCCATGTGTTCTTCTCCTGGGTATTAACTCCAGAAGAACACGTACGTGTGCACTGGAAACTACGTGTAACGCTGGTCACTGTACAAAGCCCAAGCACCCGCTGACAGGAGCGGATTAACAGAAGCGGTCATGGCGAGACCCCACACGGCAGTGAGAGACGCGACCGCAGTTACACGTGGGACATCGAGGCATCTCGGAAAACCAGCCGTGTGAGTGCGCTCGTCTTACCGCTAACTGCCACGCCCATCAGAACCCTCCACATCAGCTCATCTCTAGCCCTGAGCCCTTCACTCAGCCTCCACTTTCTCAACTCCAAACTTAGGACCCCAGTGTGACTCCAGCAACGTCTGGCCCGCCCAACCCCGCTGCCCCAGTGCACCCCAGTACAGACAGCTGTGGGCGGTAGCTTTGAAGGGGGCATGGGTCCCGGAGACAAAAGAGCAGATGACATGGTCCTGAGGTCCATTCTTCCCACAGGTGCACCTGTGGCCGCTGGGGTCGTGACCCTGGCCAGGTTTTAGACATTATGAGAAATGCTGGTCAGGAAAATGGAATCAGTTCTATTCCTGGACACTAGCACCTGTGGCCACAGTGTGGTTGTTGGTCTGCGGGCGCCCAGCCATGAGCTTCTCCAATCCATTCTTTCCACCGAAGTCTTGCTTCGAATCCTTCAATATCTCCCCACTGCTTTTTAAAGGTAAAGGACATGCATGCACGTGCATGCACATCCCCCCCCACACACGCGTAACAGAAGTTACTTCAGGGGTGCCTGGTGGCTCCCCGGCTGACCATCTGACTTGGTTTTGGCTCAGGTCGTGACTCGCAGTGCCGACACTGAGCCCCGTGTCTGCGGAGGGTTCTCTCTTCCTGTCCCTCTGCCCCTCCGGCTTATGCACATGTTCGTGCCATCTCTCTCAAATACATAAATACGAAAAACATGAATGGAAGTTACTTTAAAAACAAGGGGAGAAGGTGGAGAGTTTTCAAAGTTTGATCTCCCAGCAAACAACCTGCACGAAACCATGTTTTCCTCTTTCAAAATACGTGGTCGCAGAGCAGCTCCTACAGCCGCGGGGAAGCAGAGGCGGCGTGGCCGGTTCCACTTTCGGGCACGTACGGGTCAGGGCAGCACGGGACGAAGGCTCACGGCCGCCACTGCTTCAACACTTCGGGCACTGAGTTTCCTTTCAGGTCTCCCGGGTCCCTCGCAGGTGTGCAGGGCAGGCGCGCGGCTCCCGACTGGCCGCCGGGCCTGGGGCCCCGAGGGGAACAGACTGACGTGCGAGACGGCAATTCTGGGCACGGATGGCGGTGACGGCTGCACAGGAACGTGGGTGTGACCTCGTGGACCTGCACGCTGGAAATGACAGTAAATCTGACGTTCTGCATATTTTACCACAAACGCCCCAAAGGAGTGATGGAAAAATCAAAGCTAAATTGCCCAGTTCTCTTCCAAGACAGAAGAGTCCTCTCTCCGACCCCAGGCGTTGCTTTAAATGTGGGAAACACAGACCCCGGAGACGAGTCACTTCCTGAGTCCGAAGCCTTTCCCGGGGCGCCGGGGAAGGGGTCCCCACTCCCACTGTATGGCAGGTTTTGCCGCTGCCCCGATGAAAGACGCGCTGATGTCCCCTCACAGGAAGCTCCGATGCACACGGACAGGAGTCGGGAAGGGCCCGAACCCAGCCTAGAAAGGCGGCCCAGAGCCCTCTGCTGACTCGGACGTCAGCGGTCGCAGAAGTCAGTCTGTTCTGCAAACCGAACGTGTTCCGCTGAGGTCACTGTAGAGCCGCCTGCGGCTGAAGGTCGCCCGAAGAGCTCGTGTGCGGGATGTTTCCTCGCGTTGTCACCTCCAAGTCCCCCGGCCCCACTGGACCCCCGACGACCAGTCCCCTGCTCTCCATTCCGGTGATCGCGTCACTTCGGGGACATTCTATGAAGGACGCGCACGGGAGGCTGCCTTTGATACCGGCTTATCGCTCGTCCTGACTTCCAGGCACCCCCAGGCTGTGTGTCATAGGCACTAAGAGTTGTTCCTTCGACCCTGAACCCTGTGCCACGGTGAGGAGGTGTCTGTCTAACCAGTCATCCAGTGAAGACCTGGGGGCTGTCACTCGCCTCTGCCGTGAGGGACAAAACTGCTACGGAGCGGCATTCGTGGAGAGAAGCCGAGAGTCTACGGGTTAAGACGATCTAGCTCAGGAACTGGACTCTTCAGAACTAGCGCAGAACTGAATCAGTGCTACCTCGATTTTAACAATAATCACTATTTTTTTTTTTAAGATTTTATTTACTTATTTGTCAGAGAGAGAGCGAGCACAGGCAGACAGAGAGGCAGGCAGAGGCAGAGGGAGAAGCAGGCTCCCTGCCAAGCAAGGAGCCCGATGCGGGACTCGATCCCAGGACGCTGGGATCATGACCTGAGCCGAAGGCAGCTGCTTAACCAACTGAGCCACCCAGGCGTCCCAATAATCACTATTTTTTTTTAAAAGATTTATTTGACAGAGAGGCAGCGAGAGAGGGAACACAAGCAGGGGGAGCTGGAGAGAGAGAAGCAGGCTTCTCGTGGAGCAGGGAGCCCGATGCGGAGCTCCATCCCAGGACCCCGGGATCATGACCTGAGCCGAAGGCAGAGGCTTAACGACTGAGCCCCCCAGGCGCCCCTAATCACTATTTTCTAGAAGTAGGTTCTATATTGAGCAATGTACAGGTATTAACTTCCAAAAACTATTAGGGAGACATTATTGTACCCAGGTGAGAAGAGGGACGGAGCACCTTGATCATGGCTAAGAGTGGCAGCCTGTCCCATTAGTCACTGTGTGTCCTGCGTTGTCCATCATTGAGCACCTGAACACGTCCAGTCGGGGGAACTCGGAGGCAGGCTACAGAGTTTTCAGACAGCTTTTCTGGAAAACTCTTTCACAATCTGAGCTGAAATGTCTCCCAGCAGCTTCCATTCACCATCCCAGTCCCTCTCTTGGGTTTTACAAGCCATTTCCCACATGATGAACGGAGTGTAGTTCTGTGCTGTTTTTTCTTTTCCTGGCTAAATGCCTACAGTTTTTTAAAGCAATCATTACCCAATACAAGTTCCTTTCCCACTTATCAATGCTCTTTCGGTATGACCTATCGTTTTTAGATTTTGTATTTTAAGAGTGACTTTTTTGTTAAAATTTTATTTACTTGACAGAGACAGTGAGAGAGCGAGACAGAGCACAAGTAGGGGGAGGAGCAGAGACAGAGGGAGAAGCAGACTCCCCAACACAGCAGGGAGCCCAATGAGGGGCTGGATCCCAGGACACTGAGATCATGACCCGAGCCGAAGGCACATGTTTCACGGACTAAGCCATCCAGGCGCCCCAAGAGTGACTATTTTTAAACAGTCTATCATATCGTTGTTTCATTGAGAATGCAGTTCATTAAAATAATCACTTCTCTCTCTTTTTTTTCTAAAGATTTTAAGTTTACTTCTTTTTTTTTTTAAGTTTAAAGATTTTATTTATTTGACAGACAGAGATCACAAGCAGGCAGAGAGGCAGGCAGAGAGAGAGGGGGAAGCAGGCTCCCTGCTGAGCAGAGAGCCTGATGCGGGGCTCGATCCCAGGACCCTAAGACCATGACCTGAGCCAAAGGCAGAGGCTTTAACCCACTGAGCCACCCAGGTGCCCCTCAGTTCTCTTTTTTATAAAAAATACCATTATTTATCAAAATCTCAGCAACATTTTTTATGGCAATTGTCAAGCTCATCTCAAAATTCATATGGAAATGCAATGGACCCATAAAAGCATAAATAACCTTGGAAAAAAAAAGGAACAAAGTTGGAGGGTTCCCATTTCCTGATTTCAAAACTTACTACAAAGCCACAGTAACAAAGACAGTGTGCTATCAGCTTATGTCGATAGATGACACGTGTCTGACCCACATCCATGAGTCAGTGGGGTGCAGCTGTGAGTTCAGAAAAAATGCCTTACATCACAATCAGCTGATTTTCAACACGCACACCAAGACAACTCAATGGGGGAAGGAAAAATGTTTTCAACAAATAGTGCTAAGACAGCCAGATATCCAGAGGCAAAATAATTATGTTGAAGTGGGTATTTACCCAAAGACTATAAAAACACTAATTCAAAGAGATACATGCTTCCCTGTGCTTCCTGCTGCATTACTTACAGTAGCCAAGATAAGGAAGCAACCCACATGCCCAGTGATGGAGGGTGTGTGTGTGTGTGTGTGTGTGTGTGTGTGTGAAAGAGGTGGATTACTACTCAGTCATAGAAAAGGATGAGAATGTGTCATCTGCAACCATATGGACGGACCTAGAGCGTATTATGCTAACTGAGTATATCAGAGAAAAACAAATATCATATGATTTACTTATATGTGGAATCATAAAAACAAAATAAACGAGTGAACAAACAAGCAGAAATGAACCCACAGAGAACAAACTGATGATTGCTGGAGAGGGGGTCAAGGGATGAGCAAAACAGGTAAAGGGGAGTGAGAGATACAGGCTTCCAGTTATGGAATAAGTAAGTCACAGGACTAAAACATACAGCGTGGAGAGATACAGTCAGTGACAGTAATAGCATTGTGTGGTGACAGATGGTAGCTACCCTGTGGTGAGCCCAGAACAACACATAAACTTGTCGGGATTGGCTCAGTCAGTTAAGCATCCGACTCGTGATTCCAGCTCAGGTCATGACCTCAGGGTGGTGGGACGGAGCCAGGCACCGGGCTCCGCACTGGAGATTCTCTCTCTCCACCCGCTTGTGCTCGCTCGCCCTCTCTCTCTAAAATGAGTTACATCTTGGGGCGCCTGGGTGGTTCAGTGGGTTAAGCCTCTGCCTTCAGCTCAGGCCATGATCCCGGGGTCCTGGGATCGAGCCCCGCATCGGGCTCTCTGCACAGTGGGGAGCCTGCTTCCCTTCCTCTCTCTCTGCCTGCCTCTCTGCCTACTTGTGATCTCTCTGTCAAATAAATAAATAAAATCTTAAAAAAAAAAAAAAAAGATAAAATGAGTTACATCTTAAAAACAAACAAAAAAACCCCTTGTTGAAACATTATGTCGTACACCCGAAACTAAAGCAACTGTGTCAACTATATTTCAACTAAAAAAGAAAGAAATAAAGAAAGAAAAATCAGTTAAGGACAAAACTAAAAACCAAAGCCTGGTTCTCTGTAAGGATTTTATCTTTCAGAGAATCATAGTATTATTCGTTTCCTGAATGAGCCAGGAATCAAAGAGTCACTTTTGAAACCCTCCTTTTCCTCTGACTTAAAAAAAAATTAAACTGGACCCCTACCTCGTATCATACATAAAAAGTAACGCAAACAGAATACAGACCTGATTGGAAGTGCTGAAACAATAAAACTTTTAAAAGAATACGTAAGAGTAAATCTTACGTATTAAATACAAGTGACCTTGTATCAGACAGTGGTTTCGTAGTACCAAAACTCAAGTGACAAAAACAGATACTTGGGACTTTATCGAAATTAAGAATTTCTGTTTCAAAGGATACCATGAAGAAAGTGAGACTAGAACAGGAGAAAATATGCACAAATGATACCTGATAAAGGACTTGTACTCGTAATACATAAGAACTCTTTACAGCTCAACAATAAAAAGGCAACCAACTCAAAAATGGGCCAAGAATTTAAAAAAGACATTTCTTCAAATAAGATATATAAAGGCCAGGGATGCCTGGGTGGCTCAGTTGGTTGGACGACTGCTTTCAGCTCGGGTCATGATCCCGGAGTCCCAGGATCGAGTCCTGCATCGGGCTCCCAGCTCCGTGGGGAGTCTGCTTCTCCCTTTGACCTTCTCCTCGCTCATGCTCTCTCTCACTGCCTCTCTCTCAAATAAATAAATAAAATCTTAAAAAAAAAAAAGATATATAATGGCCAATAAGCACAAGAAAAGATGTTCGGTGCCATAAGTCATTAGGAAAATGCAAATCAAAAACAACATGATATCCTTATGCTCACAAGGATAGCTAAAACCAAAAGAACTGACAGTAACAAGTGCTGGGAAGAATGAGGAAAAACCGGAATCTTCATACATTGCTGGTGGGGCCGTAAAACGTGCAGTTACTTTGGAAAACAGGTTGACCGTTCCTCAAAAAATTAAACACATAGTTTCCAAATGACCCAGCAATTCTACTATAGACCCAGTCATATACCCAAGGAAATGAAAACATATGTGCCCACAAAAACTTGTTCATAGATGCTCACAGCAGCAATATTCCCAAGAGCCAAAACGTGGAAAGAACCCTAACGTCCATTGCCGAAGAATGGACAGAGCAGGTCGGTGCAGCCGTACCACGGGGTATTATCCAGTCCTAACAACAAGCGAAGCTCTGATAAATGCTGCAACATGGGTGAATCTTTACGTGAAGAAAAAGGCTGTCAGAAAAGACACCTGTAGGAGAATTCTAATGATCCGAAATGTGGTAAATCTGTCAAGACAGTAAATTAGATTAGTGGTTGGGAGAGGGGAGAATGGAGAGTCACCACTCATGGATTTCTCTTTGGGGTCACTAGAATGTTCTAACATTAGGTAGCGATAGTGATTATGCAGCTCTGTGAATGTACTAAAAACCCACTGAACTGTATACTTCAAAGATACTGAATTTTATGGTTTGTGAATCTTAAATAAAGCCATTAGTAAAAAATGTGCCATGCAGCCACATTAAAACAACAGTGATAGCAGAAACCGCCATGATGAGTTTGGTCCTGATTACTGTAAGAGCTGTAGACATCACATGCTTTGGGTCATCTTCTCGTCACAGCGTCGTTCGGAAGCATTGTGCCAGCTGTCGCTGTCAAACAGGCCACCCCAAAACTCAGCGGCTTCAAACAATATCTTGTTGTTAGTGCTCACGAGCCCACAGCTCTGGGCTGGTTAGTTCTGTTCTGGATCAGGTCGGGCTGTCTCAGGTTGGCAAGGTCAGCCTTAGCTGGTGGGACAGACTCGGCTCCACACGGTCTCTCATCCCGTGGCAGCGCGGCCTGACATATCACAGCGGAGGCAAAGGTCCCGGAGAGCTAAAGCACTGAAGACCTGTCAAACCTGGCTAAGAGCCAGCAGGGGGTTACGTCCGACCGCAGCCCATTAGCCCAGCATAGTGTCCGGGGTGGGGAGGAAGCCGACTTGACCTCTCTATGGAAGGAGCTAGAAAATCAAAATTTTTCTGACCCACGGAAACCGCTGTGACTGCTGTGCGTAAACGTGGTTGTTGCACTCAAGAGCCTACATCCCCGTCATGAGACCATGTTCTTTGCCACTGACCTGTGCAGCTACTCGTGATGTTGGTCTCAGCAAAGTAATTGTCAGAATCCATTTCATTAATGCTGAACCTTATGTCAGTTTGTAGATGTCTTTTACGTAATGAAAGGGCTTCTAAGTACACGGGTTTTAACATTAGTTATACAGTTAACCAATGAGAACTAGGAGTTGTTTTGATAAAATTTTAAATAAAAAACTACGGAACATTTCCTCACATCATACACAAAAAATAAACTCAAAGTGGATTAAAGACCTAAATGTGACACCTGAAACCTAGAAATCGTAGAAGGGAGCACAGGCGGTAAGGTCTCTGACATGGGCCATAGCAACATATTTCTAGATTTGTCTCCTAAGGCAAGAAAAACAAAAGCAAAAATAAACTGTTGGGACGACATCAAAATAAATAGCTTCTGCCCAGCAGAGGAAACAATCAACAAAACTAAAAGATAACCTGCCAAACTGAAGATATTTGCAAATAACATATCCAATAAAAGATCAGGATCTAAAATATATAAAGAACTTCTATAGCTGAACACAAACAAACAAAAAACCCAAACTATCAAAAATAGGCAGAAGATACGAACAGACATTTCTCCAGAGAAGACCTCCAGGTGGCCAACAGACACACGAAAACGCACTCAGCATCGCTCCGCGTCGGGGAAACGCAAATCAGAACCACGAGGACCGGCCACCTCACACCGGCCGGCATGGCCAAAACCAAAACCGCACGGACCAGCAAGGGCTGGCGAGGCCGCAGGGAGCAGCCCCCGGGCGCCGCTGGTGGGAATGCGGGCGAGCGCAGCTACACGAATAAAAATGCGGAGCACGGGAAGGGTACTCAGCCATCAGAACGACCAAAGCTTGCCATTTGCAATGACTTGGATGGATCTAGAAAATATGACGCTAAACGAAATAAATCAGAGAAAGACAAAGACCACATGATCTCATTCGTATGTGGAATTTAAGAAACAAACAAACGAACAAAGAAGAGAAAGAGACAAATGAAAAAACAGACTCTTCACTCTAGAGAACACACTGCTGGTCACCAGAGGGGATGCGGGGACACACACGGAGGGGACTAAGAGTCCACTCACGTGACGAGCACTGACGAACGTACAGAAGTTAACTCTGCTAGAGTTCGAAAACAACTATGAAACCTAGTTGCAGTTTCTTACCAGTTTCAGCATCGAATGAAATTTAGCTTTTCTTTTGTGCACACAGTATTACAAATCTTGAGCCACACAAATAGTTGCGAGTGGTAACCTTCTGTAGTACTTTTAATTCTATCTTAAAAAGACTTCAGTAGACCAGCAGGAGGACTGCAAAGGTGCCCCGGCAGCGAGCAACAGTGCGTGGACCGGGGTCTGTGTTCCGGGCAGGTCTCGGGGTGGAGCTCAGACATTCCGTCAACCCTGCCGGGGACAGGCGTGTGGCCCTCCGGGCTCTGCCGGCCGTTTCTCGAGCCCCTGCGGCGTGGAGTCCACGTCATCCCACAGGGCCCTGGGATTCCGGGAGCGGCCCCCGAGCGCCGGCTTCCGCTCACCGCCCCTAACGACACAGGCACCCTGTCCCCTGGAGCCCGCAGCCAGGCCCTGCCCTCTCCTCTCCAGCTGCGGGAGTCCTGGCTGTGCCCCCACGAAGGCTGCTTCGTCCCCACGGAAAACCAGTTGGTCAGTGTGGCACCTTCAGGGACTCTCTGAGCTGCGCCTTCCGGAGCACCTGCTGCTTCACCGGCCACTTCTGGGTCACGGACACGGCTTCTTTCCCGACACCTCCCTGAACCCACCCCTGCCTGCTCCAGACCAGACTTTGTCCGAAGGGGACACGGTGGCCACCAGGACGCTCGGCCCGGGCCCCTCCGACTCAGGACTGGACTTCGACCAAATGGGACGCGGTGACCACTGGGACGTTCGGCCTGGACCGCTCGGACCCTGGACCGGACTTTGGCTGAAGGGGACGCAGTGACTGCTAGGACGCTCAGCCTGGACCACTCTGCCCCAGGACTGGACTTCAGCCAAAGGGGACGTGGTAACCGCTGGGATGCTCAGCCCGGACCCCTCTGACCCTGGACTGGACTTTGGCCGAAGGGGACACAGTGGCCTCAGGGACACTTAGCCCGGACCCTTCCAACCCTGGACTGGACTTCAGCCAAAGGGGACATGGTGACTGCTGGTATGCTCAGCCCGGATCCCTCTGACCCTAGACTGGACTTCGGCCGAAGGGGACATGGTGGCCGAGATGCTTGGCCTGGACCCCTCTAACCCTGAACTGGACTTCGGCCAAAGGGTTCGCAATGACCGCTGGGATGCTTGGCCCAGATCGCTCTGACCCCAGACCACACTGTAACCAAAGAGGATGTGGTGGCCGCCAGGACAGTCGGCCCGGACCCCTCTAACTCAGGACTGGACTTCAGTCGAAGGGGACACGGTGGCCACTGGGACACTTGGCTCAGACCCCTCTGACTCTGAATTGGACTTCGGCCGAAGGGGACACCGTGGCTGCTGTGACGCTTGGCTCAGACCCCTCTGATCCTGATCTGGACTTCAGCCGATGGGGACGCCGTGGCCACGGGGACACTCAGCCCGGACCGCTCCGATCTTCCCCGCACCAGCGACGTCCAGCCCGCCTTCTCCTCACCCCGTGTGCTCACTGGAACTGCACGTTCCATTTCCTCCAATGGCTTCTCCTTTGCGTTCACAGCTCAGCTGACCGCTGGCGTCCAAGGCCCAGGCTCCCGGGGTGTCGGGTCCGGACACGCCTGCCTCGCCGAGCTTCACCCCGGCTCGCTCCACCCCTGCTCGCTCCAGACTTCCAGCTTCGGACGAGCGACTCTTCCTTTTGCACGAGCACGTCGAGGCCGTCCTCAGGTTATGAACTGGCCTTGTGTCCACACTGTGGCATCTCTGGGACGAGGGAGGCCCGCGGGGAGGGAGACGGAGGAACGGCTGTCGGCGGAGCCATCGTCACACGCGTGTCCGTTAGGTCTGCCGTCTCGTGGGGGCAGCCTGCGGGGTCCCCAGGGACGCCGGTGCCATCCACGACCGCTCTGCACAGATCCCCGCGAAAATCAAACAATGAACAATTTTAGATCCTGTGAGTCACCAGAGTATGACAGAGACAGGAAGAGAGCAGCTGCTGTTGGAACACGAGCGCCGACACTCGGTGGCCCCAAACCTTCCATTTGTAAAAACCCAACAGAGGCCAGCACTGTGAGACGAGGTCCGCCCATAATTAAAACATTTGATGCCCAGACTATTTCTCAGACTGATTAAATCACAGTCTCTTGCAGGGAGACTTAAGACACTGGCAGTTTTCAAAGTCCTCCAGCTGATTGCCATGTGCAGCTAAGAATGAGAACTCGTGCGCGGATGTCAACGGTAAAGGGAATTTCAACCGAATTAACGAGGAGTCTTTGGGTATGGTTACTCAAACAATTAAACGTTCAGGACGTACTTCCCCAAAAGGCCATAAGAAGACTATCAAATGCCTTACTTTACTGAAGATGCGACGCATGTCATGTCGTTATTTTGATTTACCATCCAAGGAATTCAGACAAAAAGGATTCATCAGTCTGCCATGACTTACTCTCTACTGAAGTAAGACTGATGTCCTGGTGATCAGCAATTCTTTTAAGATTTTATTTATTTATTTGAGAGTGAGAGACAGAGCAACAGAGACAGCGAGAGAGAACACGAGTGGGGAGGAGAGGGAGAAGCAGGCTCCCCGCTGAGCAGGGAGCCCGACCTAGGACTCGAGCCCAGGACCCTGGGATCATGACCTGAGCTGGAGGCAGACACCTAACTGACTGGAGCCCCAGGCACCCCAGCAATTCTTTTTCCACACCAGTCATTCTCACCTGGGGCAATTTTGCCCCCTGGGGGACATTTAGAAATTTTTGGACATGGTTTTGGTTGTCAGACTTGGGGGAGTGGTGGTGGCGTCCAGGGAGTGGAGGCCAGAGACTGTGCTGACCATCCTGTCCTGCACAGAAGAGTCTCCCACAACAAGTCACCCAGCCTCCAATGTCAACAGTGAGTGCTGAGGCTGAGAAAGATTGTTCTAGATCCTGAGTCCTGGGGAAAGAATTTGATTCACGGAAACTACCCTCCTTGCTTTCACAATCTCGGTTCAAAAAACCAGAATTTGTTATGCTGCTTTCTGTGATCCTCATTATGTCTACTTCCCCACATTTGGGCTCTCAAAGTAAAGGTGTTTCCTTGAAACACACTGATAACAACTTGGAACAAGCACAAACTAGGTGTCTTTGCTGCAAACCACCTGCACTCATTGTCCTAGGGCAAGGGAGTGAGTGCCAGTGCGATGGGCCGACTCTCCCAACGGAGCAGGCAGAGGGAGGGGACAGGGAGGACCCAGGATTGCGTCTGAGGCTGGGGGGACCCTAGATCCTCATCAACAAACTGAACCTGAGAAATTCCCGGACGTGAGACTGGTGAAACATCAGAGAGGCTTCTGAAGGCTTTGCAGAAGGCATGTTACACGAACACGCAGGCCCAGCTGTAACACTCTCCAGCTTTAGGGCCGGGGACACAGCTAGGTTGAGCTCAACCCAAAGGTGCATTTAAGATTTTATTTATTTATTTGACAGAGAGAGAGATCACAAGTAGGCAGAGAGGCAGGCAGAGAGAGAGGGGGAAGCAGGCTCCCTGCCTAGCAGAGAGCCCGACTTGGGGCTCGGTCCCAGGACCCTGGGACCATGACCTAAGCCTTAGGCAGAGGCTTTAACCCACTGAGCCACCCAGGCGCCCCCCCAAAGGTGCATTTAGATTAGTGTTCTGAAGTGCGGATGCATGAACACTTAAAGAAAAGGATGGACAGAAAATAATCTGGTCCGTGGTGGTGCTCATGTTGCTGGTAACTTTTTTTTTTGACTTTGATTTGTAATGTTATTAACAATAATTAGTAATATGAATATTGTTCATGTAATAAAAACTGTCCACACTTCAGTAAGGTGTCCGTGTTAAAGGTTTTTTTTTTTAATGAGACCTAACCAAAACCATTTTTACAGCGACATAATGGAAACAGATTGTCATGAATGTAGGATTATTCAGCTGCAACACTGTTTCTAACCTTAAGATGAAAAGAATCTAAGTATCTGTCACCAGTGGGCAAGCAGCACAGCCCTGCGATGCTACACCACAGGCACACCACTGTTAACACCACAGCCTGGGAGCCCTCTGCGCCTGATGAAGGAAAACCTCCATACGCATTAGGTAGGGGAGAGAAAGCACAGAGTACGGTGTACAGTTAGCTATCACTCGTGTAAAAGGCGGGGGGGGAACATATATATAGGGGCACCTGGGTGGCTCAGTAGGTTAAAGCCTCTGCCTTCGGCACAGGTCATGATCCCAGGGTTCTGGGATCGAGACCCAAGTCGGGCTCTCTGCTCAGCAGGGAGCCTGCTTCCTCCTCTCTCTCTCTGCCTGCCTCTCTGCCTACTTGTGATCTCTCTGTCAAATAAACAAAATCTTAAAAAAAATATATATATATATATATACACACACACACACACACAATTTGTTTGTAAAAAGGTCCATATTTTGAAGGATATACAAAAACTGAGAATACTGGTTGCTTTCAGGGGAAGGAATGGGTTCCACTGGGGGTAGGAACAGGGGGGGAGGTGTGCTTTGTACTCTTTGAATCTGGATCAGGTTGCTATCACCCGAAGAGTAAATTTTACAAAATCAAATCAACAGACCCTTAGTGAGATCCTTTAAGCTAACACGTAATTTTCTGCAGGAATTATACTTCTGAGGATAGAAAACCCTGCTGCATCAAACTTTTAGAGATTGATAATAAGTAACTAAAAGCAGTGGGTCCTCACCCCAACACCACATCTAAGTCCACGTCAGGACAGATGAGCCCTTTACATTGCACCGCAAGTACCCTGCACATAACATTTCCTACAGGAAAAGACACTGATTTTAGCCCCTACAAGTCTTTTTTTCCTTCTCTCTCAGGCCAAGTTTCCCACCTATAAAACAAGGACACTCCAGTAGGTTTTCCAGATGTTTCCCTCCTCTGGTAATCTAACTTCTACCAAGCTGAGAGCAGTGACAGCACCAACATAGAAAAGAAAAGGGCGGTGCCGGTCCACGCAAAGGAAGAGACATCCGCATTGATGTCTTCTTTCTTCCAGTGACTCAAGTGCACCGAAGAATAACCTTGGGCTCCAATGACAGCAACAGCTAACATATCCCCAACACCTTCTGTAAGTCGGGGGGCTCTAAGTGCTTTATGTGAATTAACTCACTTTACCTTTACGACAATCCTATGATGTAGGTAACATCTCCAATTTACAGACACAACAAACAGAGTGCGAAGTATGGCAGAATGGTCAGAAGCGCCGACTCTCAAATCCACGCGCTGAAATCCTACTTAATAGCTTTGTGACCTCGAGCCCGTTACTTCAGCTCCATGTGGCTGTTCCCTCACTTCTAAAATGGAGAGAACTGTGGCACCTAAATCTACTATGTGCCACCGCCACTGAGGCTCTACCCAACTTTTCACAGCTCGGCTTTGCACCCGCGCAGTTGGAGTGTCCATTCGCGCTTCCCCAACAGGCAATCCATCACCCGAAGCAGTGGTTTAAAATCTTGGTAGGAGGGACGCCTGGGTGGCTCAGTGGGTTAAGCGGCTGCCTTTGGCTCGGTTCATGATCCCAGCATCCTGGGATCGAGTCCCACATAGGGCTCCTTGCTCGGCAGGGAGCCTGCTTCTCCCTCTGCCTCTGCTGCCATTCTGCCCGCCTGTGCTCTCTCTCTCTCTCTCTGGCAAATAAATAAATAAAATCTTTAAAAAAAAAAAAAATCTTGGTAGGACCCCCACCTCCAAAATTTCGGAGTTTTTCCCTTGTTAGATAGGAAATTTAGACTATTGTGCTTAGATAGCATTTCTCCACAACTTACCACATATAAAGTCAACCATGATGATATTCTAGTTGACTTTTATCTTTAAAAATTTCTTTTAACGTTTGAAACTTTATTTTGGAGTTGCAGGGAGGAAGTTCTCCTGAGACAGCACCCCAGCAAGGAAGCACCACGAAAAGCATGTTTGAGTGCTCCTGTTCGAGCAGCTGAGTCTGAAGGCGCTTAGCTAAGACTGCTGCGGTGCGGCAGGACCATGGAGCCCGGCTGTCTATTTACACCTCGAAGCCTGGCACCAGAGGCAGAGCTGCAGGGAAATACTGGAAACCCAGGCAGCTCCGGGAACACGGATCACTGTTCTCAGGGCTAACGTTCAGCTGAACCACAGCCTCATTTGCACGGAGGCACCTGGGTGGCGCAGTTAGGCGTCATGATTTCGGCTCAGCTTGTGATCCTGGGGTTCTAGGATGGAGTTCCACATCTGACGCCCTGGCTCCTGTGCTCAGCATGGAGCCTGCTTATTCCTCTCCCTCTACTCCGCCCCCCTCTTGTGCTCTCTCAAATCAATCAAATCTTTTTTTTTTTAAGATTTTATTTATTTATTTGACAGAGAGACCACAAGTAGGCAGAGAGGCAGGCAGAGAGAAAGGGGGAAGCAGACTCCCTACTGAGCAGAGAGCCCGATGCGGGGCTCGATCCCAGAACCCTGGGACCAACCTGAGCCGAAGGCAGAGGCTTTACCCACTGAGCCACCCAGATGCTCCTCAAATCATCAAATCTTAAAAACAAAACAAACTCTTGAATTAAAGCACAAAACCACAATCCAAGACAGGTGTTCTGGAGCCTACTGAGGCCTTCGCTTCCCTTTCCACATAGTTTCCAGCGGCTGCACCAAATTACCAGAAACTTAGTGGTATAAAACCACCCAGATCTGTCGCCGGCAGCTCTGTGGTTTAGAAGTCCCTCAGTCAAGTGCACACGCGCAGTCGCGTGCTTTCTGGATGCTTCAGCAGAGAACCTGGTTTTCGGACTTTTGCAGATTTTAGAAGCTGCTCTTTCATCTTCAAAGCCGGCAACATCCAGTCGTGACTCTTCTGCCCCATCTTCCATCTTTCCACAACTCCTGTACTTACAGTGGGCCTACTACATAATCAGAATAATCTCCCTATTTTAAGGTTAGCTGACTGGCAAACTTAGTAACATCTGTGTTCTCAGTTCCCTTTTGCCATGTAATATATGCACAGGTTCCAGGGGCTGGGCACAGCCATCTTTGGGAGACCACGATTCTGCCTTCCATACCTTCCTTGGGTCAAGGAGTTCAGGCTGCATTCATTCAATAAGGTCATTTTGCTGAGTACTTAATACAGCTTGGGAGGCACTGGGGCTTATACGAAAGAACGGGGTGTGACCTTGTCTTACTCAGCGGACAACTGATGAAGGCAGAGAAAGCGAAAGCCACTTCCTTTGTGCGCAGGTGCAGTGGAATCCATTAAGTGTCTTTTCTTCGCAGCATATGTACTTATGCTGGTGATGGCAAATTTTTACTGTGAAGATAATGTGGTATAGTGAAAAAGGTTTTTAGGACAAAGTGAAATCTTTTTTTTTTTTTTTTTTTTTAACGATTTCATTTTTTTGAGAGAAAGCACACACAGAAGCAGGAGTGAGTCAGAGGGAGAGGAACAAGCAGACTCCCTGCCGAGCAGGCTCAATCCCAGGACACTGAGATCAAGATCTGAGCAGAAGTCAGCTGCCTAAAGGACTGAGCCACCCAAGCACCACACCCAATGTGAAATCCCAAGTTCCTGGACTTCTGGGAGCCTCAGGCTTCTCATCTGTAATATGGGGATTAGGATGATCTATGCTAAAGTGTTATTTAAGCAGGAACACGTGCTCTCCCCACGCGGCATTCCTCAAATATTAATTCTCTTTCCCTTCTCAGATTTTAAGTATCTAAAGTTCTTTTAACATTTCCACTACTTATGTTCCACTAGGGCTATAAAAGAATACACAAGGAGTGTTAGACCTGGTCCCTATCATCAAATTAAATATGTTGGTAGGGGGCGCCTAGATGGCAAAGTGGGTTAAAGCCTCTACCTTCTGCTCAGGTCATGATCCAGGGTTCTGGGATCCAGCCTGGCCTCTTCTGGGATCGAGCCTGGATCAAGCTCTCTGCTCAGCGGGGAGCCTGCTTCCCTCTCTCTCTCTCTCTCTCTCTGCCTCCCTTTCTGTCTACTTGTGATCTGTCTGTCAAATAAATAAATAAAATCTTTTAAGAAAATTAAAATGTTGGTAGGGTAACACATTTGCATATAGGATACAATTAAAGAAAGATTAAAGCAAACTTAGATGGGCCCCATGAAAGAGCTGAGACTTAACACATGGTTAGGAAAACCAAATATATATAAGATCATTAAAGCTAATTTTCTCTTTACCTTCAAAAATACAAACTAAGCAAACACAACCTGACCCATGCATGGAAATGTGGAAAGGAAGTATGTCTACTTGAACCTTAGAGCTTCAACAGGGCTTTGAGGTCAGTCTAGGACAGGGATTCTCAAGCCGCTCCCTGGATCCCTGCAAGTCCACAGAAGTGAAGGAAAGGGAAACCCAAGGAGACAGATCCCTCCGGGAACGTATTCTGCTTTACCCTTTGGGGGAAACGAAAACTGCGAGATTAGGCAGACCCTGGGTTCGGACAGGCCAGAGTCGCCCCGCATTCTCCCTCCAAGAGAAAGTACGTGTCGGTGCAGAGTGCTGAGGAAGCAGCGTCAGGAGCCGCCGAAATCCGCCAGGCCTCGGTCCGCGCGGCCGCACGAACCGTCCGGAGGGCCGGCGGCCCCGCACAGCCGAGCTGCCCCGCCGGGTCTGCGAGCGGGAACACGCTCCGCTCGGCGGAGAGGATCTCACAGACTCGGAAGGCCCACTCGGACGTGACTAAGTTTTACGTCCACTTTTCCGTTTCTTTTTGATAAAGAACGAAGCAAAACAACGTTCTGTAGGACACGCCAGACACGGAAGACCGAGGCCGGCGCGGAGCCAGGAATACGTGGTCTCCGGCCCCGGTGCCCCCGAGCAGCGGGTCCCGCCCGGAGGCACGCGTGAGCGCTCCAGCGCAGCGTGCGGGCGCCCGGCCGTGAGCCCCGAGCCCCCGGGCTGGGCTTCACCACACAAAGCAAGAAGCGCGACGGGCGCGCGGGCTCCCGGCGGGTCCAAGTCCGCCCCGCGGAGCCCGGGAGGAAGCCCCCCTCCCGGACAGCCGCCTGCCGCACGGCCCCGCTCCCTACCTGATGGGCGCTCGGGTCCCGCTCCCAGCCCGCTAGCGCCGGCTCCTTCCCCTGCGAGGGTCCCGGGGCCGCGAGCCGCACGCGCCGCCGAGGGAACGCCGCTCCCGGCGCTGCCCGCAAACACCCGGCGAGCTCGGGCCGTTCGGCAGGAAGCTGCTCAGCGCGCAGCCGCCGCGGCGTCCACCCGCCAACCGGCGGAGGGGAGCCGGGCCGCCCTCGACGCGCCCACCGGGGCCCGGCGGCCGAGCGCGGAAGCCAGCGTCGGGGACGCGGCGCTGCGGCCGAGGCGGTGAGCCGTCCCGGGCCCCCGCCCGCCCCTCGCCCGGGCTGCAGCCCTCACAGCGGCCCCGCCGAGGCGCCGGGCCTCCCCCCTCCCGCTCCCGCGGCGGCCGGAATGGAACGGTCCGGCGGGGGGGATTGTGGGAGGCGCACGCGCGAGGGGCGGAGGGCATGTGGGGGGGCGGCGGCGGCGGCGGCGGCGGCGGCGGCGGCCGTGGCGGCGGTTGGTGGCCGTGGGGGCGGGGAAGGGGGGGGAGGAAAGAAGAGGCGGTGGAGGAGGAGGAGGCTGGGGCTCGCGCCGCCGAAGGTACGCGTGAGGGCCCGCGCCCGGCCGTCCTGACAGGGGCCGAGGCGGGGCGGGGGGCCGTGCGAGCGGGCGCCCCCGAGCGAGCGCCGAAGGGCCGGCGGGCGCGCCAGGCGGCCGAAGGCGGGGGTCGGGGGGAGAGCGAGCGGCGAGCCCGGAGCCCGTCCGGCGCGTGCGGGCGGGCGTGCGCGCTCCGCCGCCCGAGTCGGGGGCGGGGGGGGGGGGGGGCCCGGGGGGGGGGCCGGGGGGGGGGGGGGGGGGGCGCGCGGCGCCCTTCGCTCGCGCCCGCCCTCCCTCCCGAGCTGCCGCCGCCGCCGCCGCCGCTCTGCCGCCGCCGCTCCCGCCGCCATTTTGGGTTCGCTTTGCGGAGGGGCAGTCGATCCCCGTTTGGGTTGCGGGACCGCCTCCCCTCGGTGGCCGCTGCCCAGCCGCACGCCTTGCCCTTCTCCTCGCTCGCGGTTCCGCCCGTCCGCGCCCCCGCGGGCCGCCTCCTGACAAGCGGCAGGGAGCCGCCGCCGACCCGGGGCCGCCGAGGAGCCTGCTTGGCGGCCGCCCCCCTTCCCCACTTCCCTGCACTCTCCTCTCGCTCGGCCTCGGCCTCTGACACGGTGAGCAGAGCCGCCCGCGGAGGCTTCGGGCCTAAGTGTTCCGCGCGCGAGGCGAGCCTGGGCGGCCCGGGCGCCCCTGTCACCTCCCGGTCCTGGACCTCCGGGAGAGCGGCGGCGGGGTGGGGGAGGGGAGCGAGGCGAGAGGATCCTGAGCGGCCCGGGAAGTCCCTCCCGGCGGGGGGGGGGGAGGGGTGTCCCTGGCGGGCGGGCTCCGGGGCTGGGGGAGGGGCGGGAAAGTCGGCGGGCGGAGGCGGAGCCGCCCGGGCCCCTGACAGGTTAGTTGGCGCGCGGCGGGAGCATCCCCCGGCCCCGGGGGCAGGGGCGGGGCGGGGGCGGGCGCCGGGGGTGCCGGGCCCGGCGCGCGCTGTCCGGCCCGGGGTGCGAGTTGAGCGGGTGTCCTGGGGAGTTTGGACGGGGACGGCGAGTGTGGCCGTGAGCAGTCGGTGTGCGGGTGTGTGCACGCGGGGCCGGAAAGTGTTCCGGGAGAGTTGGCTCGGGTCCGTGCAAGTGTGCGGGAGTTCCCCGCGCGCCTCGCCGCGTCCCGGAGCCGGCCGCCCCGCCCCCCCCCCCCCCCCCCCCCCGCCGGCCGTGCCCGCGCCCTGCGCCGCCTGGGAGCGCCCGCTGCTGCCGGCGCGGAGGAGCCATGGCGGTAGCGCCCTCGGCGCCGCGTCTGTGTGTGCGGTGGGGACGGGGCGCTCGTCCCGGCCGGTCGTGCTCCTGGGAGCCGTCCTCGGGCGGCGGCCGGTCGTGCCAGCGCGAGTCCCGACGGGCTGTGAGCCGACGGCCCCCGCCGGGCTGGGAGGCTGGGGCGGCCTTCCTGCCGGAGGCTGCTCGGAACGGCGCCTGCTGCGGGGTGGTCCTGCGCCCGTGCGCACGCGGTGCGGTGCCCGACTTCCCCCGTCACGGAGCGGGGAGTGGAGGCAGGACGACATCCTTTCCCCAAGGTCACGCCGAGTGGGTGACCACACTGACGTTGTGCCCCAGTGCGGTGCCTGCTTGTCCAGCGGTGCGTTCGCCGCACGCCCGGGCCCGGCAGGGTCTTCCCGCACCGTCCGGCTTCCTGGGGAGCCGGGGGCCGCGGGCGCCTGGCCGGCGCGGCTGCCGGGGCTGAGCTGTGTCGCACGCGTGCACGACCCTGGGCCGGCCCTGCAGGGTGGCCTGTAGGAAACGGGCGTCCACACCGGGTTAGTTATTGCTGGTGGAGGAATCGGCATCTGACGCTCGGCGTGTGTCGTGCGGGGAGGATGTCTGCCCAGCTCCGGCCGGCCTGCGGCCGCTGGGGGACAGCTGGCCGCCTCTCTTGAAGTCTGTGGGCGGGAGGATCTTCTCCCCTTCGTCCCACAGATGTGTTTATGGAGTTTACTGAGCAGTTACTCAGCGAGTGGTCCCTGCCTTGGGGGGAGAATAATCGAGGTGACCCTGTGGAAACAACCTGGGTGCCTCTGAGGGGACACAGTGCCGTGGCAGTGGTAGGTTAAGTCCAGCGCCAAGGACGAGTCAGTGTTGGGATTGAAACTAAGACTTTCCTAAAAGGTCTGTTGAGTGTGGAGGGAATTTACTGTCCGGGGCAGGTTTACACGGAAGCATGCAAGTGTGTTTACCCATGTGAAAGCGCGCAGGTCTGTGACCCGCGGTGCCTTCTTTTGCATCTTCTTTTGACATTTATGAGTGAACTGTTTTGGGGATCTGGTCACTGTTGCTGGACATTCCTGTGGATATTGGAGCTTTTGGCTGGGCTGAAGGAGGTCTCTAAAGACTAATTTTGCAGTAAGGATCCCGTCAGTGACTATGAGGGGGAAATGCTTGAACGAAGACTGCAGAATGGTGCATCTCTGGAAAACAGTATTTTTGATATGCCAGATTAGTAGTTCTTAAAGTTTTTTTTGGGGTCACTTATCCTTCTGAGACTCTGATGAAAGGCCCTCACTGCTAAACGAGCTTTAACACAGTCACACAAATGATGCAGACGATTTCAGGAACTGAAATTGTGATGAAGTAGAACCTTTTCATATTTAGGTCTCATTTAAAGCCTTTTAAAATACATGGTGCTTTGTTTGGAGATGAAGATGTTGATATGAGTTTTAGGTGAAAAAGATTCTGTGACCGTTTTTGGTGTGTTGAAAGTAAGGAGAACTTTAAGGTCGTGTCTTTTACTCTTTATAAACTCATTTTTGCAACGTTAGTACAGGATTCTGAATTAGGTGGTAAGAAAACATATTGCTCAGATATTTATAGCTTTATTCTTTTTCCTTTTTATTCTTAAACTCCTCTTTCCGGTTTCACATTGGGATTCAAGCTTCCTAAACTCATTTACTGGATTTGTGTTATGTGTAACAAACTTTATCGATTGAATTCTGTGCAGGAGACACACAGATGAGTAATATATGGACACTGTCCTTGGACAGATTCTAATCCACTTGAAGCTGAGGATTCTGTGATGGGGGTGGTTTTCAGAAGGGCAAGAAGGAGGGAAGAATATTCCTGGAAGTTGATGTTTCATGACTTAACTGCAGAGTTTTTGCCATTATTAATTCTTAGGAAGCTGTGAAGTCTTCCACTCTGTATGCAACTTTGTAACTATGAATGTGTTTTTGGCGTCATCTGGTGTTGTTGAAAAGGAGGCATACTTTGGTTGCCTTCCTTGTCTTGTTTTCAGTGTATTTCTGTAGTAAGTTTGTAATGAAAGTTTTAATGTCTTTTTTTGGTTGGGGGGGTGCATGCATCCAGGAAACTCTTCTGGGGTAAAATGCAGCAGCTGTTTGACAGACTACCCATGCATCTAGTACTGGGCATTTAAAATACTTACTGCGTTTTCAAAAGAACCAGAAATTCAGAAAGGTGTTTTGATAGCACAGATTACAGGATTCGTTAAGATAATGTAAAGATCTGAAGAAAAAACGGTGCAATTTTCTCTACTCTTTATTGTCATGGCCTCTGTGTAAGAATGTCATGGAAATTTGTGAAAAGTTTAATGTTTTCTCTAATTTTTAACTTGGATAGTAAATTTGTGGGTTTTTAACCCACTGAGCCACCCAGGTGCCCCTAAATTTGTGGGTTTTTTAAATAATATGTTTTTCATATGCATGTAGTGTGTATCTGTGCATATAGATACATATTTATATAGTCTTGGTTGTATGAGATACTTGATAATTTAAAAAATAATGCTTATAATAATTATAAGAAATTATTCAGAATCTAAGGATCAGGGAACGAAAGCAATTTTCATGTCATATTTTTGAGTTGTGTTCTAAAATATGGAGCATAGGAGCGCCTGGGTGGCTCAGTCTTTAGGTTACTGCCTTTGGCTCAGATCATGATCCCGGGGTCCTGGGATTGAGCCCCACCTAGGGCTCCCTGCTCGGTGGGAAGCCTCCTTCTCCCGCTTTGGCTTCCCCTGCTTGTGTTCCCTCTCTCGCTGTCTCTGTCAAATAAAAATAAAATCTTTAAAAAATAAAGTATGGAGCATAACTTTATTCCTCTGTATCTTGCTAGGCATTGTGTCTTTATGACATTAGCAGTACCACTTGAGGTTTTATCCTAAGTCTTCCAGGAATTACAAGTAGAGAAGTGGCCACATTTAGTCCTGCCAGAGTGACTGCCTGTACACCGTGGAGAAGTTTTAGCATATCTGTAGGTGATGCATCTGTAGTTAAGAATTTCATGTTGCTTTTTGAGTTATGTGTGTTGGTCTGAGTTGTTTAAAAGTAATACATAATCTTCCTGATGTCTGCTGTGAAGTCTACTTTGTGGCAGCCTTTCTAGAAGCATGACATGTCTTAAACCTGGTTGCCATAAAAGAGGGAAGTGAAAGTAATTTTTGTTTTATTTTGAGTTATTTTGCTATTTTTAAAAATTATTTTTTTAAAGATTTTATTTATTTATTTGACAGAGATCACAAGTAGGCAGAGAGGCAGGCAGAGAGAGAGAGGGAGAGTGAAGCAGGCTCCCTGCTGAGCAGAGAGCCCGATGCGGGCGGAGCTTGATCCCAGGACCCCAAGATCATGACTTGAGCTGAAGGCAGAGGCTTAATGCACTGAGCCACCCAGGCGTCCCTAAAATTATTTTTTCTTTAAATTACCTGTAATTTTTTTGGTTTTGTTTTGTTTATATTCTTTTGTACTGAGAGGTTAGATTTTCAAACTTAGGATTTGTCTTCTTAGTAAATGATAACTGTCAATCTTACATTTCATGTTTTAGAGATCAGCATTTTAGTGACCGCCTCATTGGTGGTGGTCGATGGCAGCGTGATGTTGACACAACATAATAAATTATAGGTTTAAGTGATGACAGAAATGTAATAACCTTGTTATTTCAAGAGTTTTGTTGCCTTTGTTAGACAGCTAACTTTTGTATATTTGAATCTATAAAATTTATTTTAGCATTGATTGGTTTTGCTTTTCATAGCTTTTCGTCCTTTGCTCTCAGACATACGCAAGTTGACGACAGGATTGTGTACTTTTTCCATTTTATTTTGTTCATTTTTTAAACATGGGAAATTTCAAACATACAGAAATGAAGAGACGAATGTAGTGAGTTCTTCTGTATTCAGCCCCTGGCTTCAGCAGTTAGTATCACCCAGTTACTACCCTGAGTCCCTACCTGCTGGCCTTGCTGCCACCTCGCCTCCCCTGCTTTGCTTATTTTGAAGCAAATCTTTCAGATATTATATAATTTCATTCATAAATACTTCAGTGTATGCATTCTTTTTACATTTTAATGGGGAAATATTTCTCCATAGTTAGGTCTATATAACTTTTTAGATTAAAGTGATGATAAGTAGAATGAAACTACTTCTAATCCCTTTTACGTGTGATTAAGGATTGCCTCTGCAAACTATAAGAAATGAACGGAATAGAATTCACCTCACTGCTTTTTAGATGTTTGCATTGAAAAATGCAGACAGTTCCTGTGTTTGCCTGAAGAGCTTATCAGCTTTTTTCTAATGTACGAGTGAGAAATAATGTGTCTCTTATAGTCTTTTTTTTTTTTTTTAAGTGCTAGTAACAAGATGCTGAAAACATTTTTGAGCTCTTGTTCTTGATTTTCTAACTGAATCTAATTACCACAGAGAAATCAGATAATACTGGTGATGTTGAACAGGAGCTAAAATTGGTCTAAATTCATTTGGATGGTATGAAATAACATTGTTTTGAATTTTGAAAGTTTAATTGTGGACAATTGAAAGTCCGTACCATTGCTTCAGTTGTTAACTACAAACCATTGGCAATTATGATGAGGATAGAAACATTGTAGAAAAAGAAAGTACATATTCCTGTTGTTACAAAGATAAATCAAATGAGAGATTTGAAGTGATTACTAGTAAAGTAGAATTTAGCCTTCTATAAAAAGTTGACAGTTAAAATTATGAGTGTGAGTTCTGTCTAGTGAAACTGATTAACTTATCTTTTGTTATATCTTATAGTCCCACAGTAAATAAATCATGAATTTTTGACTTGTTTTACATTTTATCTCTTCCACACTTGGTACCAAATCACTCTTCTCGTTTAGTCCTAACTGTCCTAAAACCCCAGGTGGACAGTGTCAGATTAGAAAGTAGCTATATTGTTGGCTTCTTGTTACAAGGGACATTATTTAGAATATGGAGGTGATATTCCTTATGATATGGTTTTTTAAATTGAGCATTGCTGAAAATGAAAGCACCAGAATTTAAATGTTTACTAATATAAGAAGCCTAATAGTGCTTAATGGAGAGAATTTAAAAGATCGTCTTTGAACGAAGAAACCATTAACTCTGACATTTGAGGATATGGGGGACTGAATCAGTCATGTATGATAATTCCAGGGTACAAATATTTTATGGAGTATAAAGGTCTTCAAAGAAGATTGGAGGATGTACATCTCAAGTGCAGATTAGACCAAGTGAAGTGACAGCACTTTAGGAAGTTAAAGTTTAGATTCAGAAACATATCAAAGAAAAAAGAGTAATCACCTTGAAACTACAAAGAGAGATTTAATTTAACTTTGTGTGTGTAAAGAAAAAATGTTATATAAATGTAGATAAAGTCACAGTTAAATTCTGTTCAGCAAGTGTTCTTTCTGTGGCACCCGGGTGACTCGGTCTATTGAGCATTGGACTCGCGATCTCAGCTCAGGTCTTGATCTCCATCCTGTGCCTGGAGCCTACTTTAAAAAAGACAAATAGG